ACTAGAGTGCGCGCCCCACAGCCCATCCCTCTCATGAATTGGGAGCATCTCCCCCATCGGGAGGGATGGGCTGTTGGGTACCTGTGGGACACAGAACATTCTGTTTGGAGCCCGTTCAAAAATTGCAAATTCACATAGGCACCTCACAGTACATCCCAACGGTGTATTAGACATCTCCAATGATGCACATTTGATACATGCCCTGTGGGGCATTGATGTGATCTTTTAATTTTTTTTTTATAGATATTTAAGGACAGATGCAAAAAGTTCAAAGTTTCCATACAATCCGATACGCCAAATTGGGTGTATCGGACTTTGTATTAACACTATATATAAGTTTTTTGTTTTTTATTTTCAAAATATGTTCAAGGGGTCGGTTAAAGGCCTGGTTACCCTGAAACAGGTCATACCCCGGAACTCCTTACATTTCGCATATCATTGATTCATTGATACAATACATATTGGCCAATACAGATCGATACGTAATGAAATTTTAAACCTTCGATAGATGGGTTTTTCATTAATGTTCAAAATATTGTTACATATCAGTCCATATAAGCTAATACATATCATATTTGGGCCTTCCCAATATGCCCTTACAGGGGCGGATCATGTCATGGTTCAAAAGGTAGTTAGGACTTAAACTGACCCCTTTGAACTAGTTTTGAAAAAAAAACACCGATACAAGCAGATACGCCCTATCGGCATATTGGCTTGTCGATATTTAGAACATTGCTCCCCACAAAGTGCACCCTACATCACATCCTCTCCGTACATTAGGAATATCTTCCTGTGACAAGTATAAGAAATGTTCCCAATACACAAAGGAAATGTGCTATGAACCGCCTGTGGGGTATAACCCAACTCTACCCCTTGAAAACCCCCGTCCCCCGAGATCTTGGTGGCAACAATGGGATTTGAATTTGATCCCAGGTCTTTCGTCCAAGTCGGATATTTTACTGATGATGCATGATCTAGTAGTTCCTTGTTGGAAGGTGATTCGGATGCCGAACTGGCTGGTTCGTTGGGTCAACTTGCAAAGAGACAGTACTAGAGTGCCTAGGCTGCTTTACTCGGGGTGGGCACTCTGACGCTTAAGTCAATGAAATATAGATTTTGGAGAGAGCTAAAGAGCAAAAGAGCTAGAGAGCAAAAGAGCTAGAGAGCTACAAGAGCTAAATTGTGCATACCTCTTGAAGTTGGAAATGAGACATTTATATAGGCTTTGGTGCCTTCCTCCAGAACATTCGGTATGGGAGTTGACTTTTGGAGGACCTAGGAATGGTGGGATGCCTGCAAAGTCGGCGAGCACGTCTCGTAGGTTGCCACTTGGACTTCAATCAGATAGAAAAGTCCTCGAGGGAGGTCGTTCTTCATGTCAAGGTCCCTTGGACCGGTACTGATAAGTACCATAGGTCGAAAGTCCTCGAATGAGGTTGCTCCTCATGCCAAGGTCCCTTAGACTGATAACGACGAGATACTACAAGTCGGCCCTAGACGAGGTGCAACTAGCTGCCTTGCTAAGGTGCTCGAGCTGCGTATGAGGTATTCTGGACTAATTCAGGGGTGCATTTCCTTGACTCGACGAGGTATGCGTCTATCTATGTGGCACTGAGGTGTCAAGCGACAAAGATAGATGCCACATGTCACCAGATTAGTAGAGGCCAAATCACCCCTCATCACCTACCATCTAAGAGCTGAGCCGAGAGCCACCATCAATTGATAAAATGGGATGTCGTGAATTGGGATGTGTGCCTCACACCAATCCCACAGCCATATCCCACCCTTTATTGAGAATATCTCCTCATGCATAATAAATACAAATATGGGAGATGTTTCTGATGTGCGAAGAAAATGCACCGTAAGGTTGGTGTGAAATGCATTTGTGAGAAGTAGATCCGAACTCTCGTGTTATTGCTGATTTGGACTTGATTGGTAGTAGCGGCACCCACAGCATGGAGGTGGAGGACGCCAGGTAGGTACAGGGCTAATGCAAGCGGGTGGAAACATGTGGCAAGTGAGTGGCCGTGGTTGCCCATTGAGATACGTTCGCTCTCTCCCTACCTTGTCTCCTCACTTTTCTCATGAGTCAAGACGACCGTCCCTCTCCACCTCTCGTTATTGCCTTGCATATGACATGTCTTTTGCTAACTATTGACAGCCCCTCCCCACCTTCTTGTCTCTCACCCTCTCCTTTTCACCAAATTACCAAACTGCCACTCTGACTAATTCATCGGAGCTGCTTTGCAATTTGCATATTTACATGTGCACCCAAAACCGAGTAATTTGAGAACGAGTAGAAAGATAGAGATGGTCGGTGGTGGGTCTGTAGTCATCTGTAGTGGGTTTGGGCGGCATTTGGATGAGAATGGAATGTACATATACTTGTAGAAAAGAAAAAGAAAAAGCATTGACTCACATTATGGGAATGGGATGGGATCTCATCTCTCCCTTTAATGGCTTGTAGGTGTAAGAAGACGAGGATTAACCCTTTTTGTATTTGTCTGGACTCTAGAGAAACATAAAGCTGCTTTAGTTGCGGATAGGAGTGTTCAAATTGATTTTAAATTGAAGGGATTGGACGAATTAATAACATATATTAAATTAGATGAGTCCAGGCTTAATGATCCAAAGTATTTATTGGATTGAATTAGACATGATTAATCTGTAATGAATTTATATTGATTGGATTGGATTGTGCCGATATCTGATCCATTGATAGAAAATGAGAATATAGGTGTCAATGAATCAAGTCATATTTGAAATAGAACCAATCTAAATTAAAACAAATTTGATTAGATTGGACAGTCTAAACAATGGATTAGACCAAATCTATTTATAATGGGTTTACATTGGACTGGATTGGATTGGACCAAATCCAGTCCAATTGACACTCACACCCCCTACTTGCAGAAATGAAAATTAATGTTGATGGCTGTGTAAGGGCTGTTTAACCGATAATAATATCTTTACGCTAGACTTTACACAGCTATCAAATAACTAATCCGGACTTCCTTGTTAGCAAAAGGTTATTGACACAAGTAACAACAACAGAATTCTAATGTTTGGTACAAATTCACTAAAAGAGAACATTAGAAAATTCTTTAATTACCTTTATCGACACTTCCGTGAGCAACCCACCTGACCTGACACCTCCCCCCACACACACACGACAACTAAACCAATTTAACGGTGATGGGACCAGTTTAGGCGGTGTTCAACACTGTTAATTTCGTAGACGGGACTGATGAACACCTGTTCTGTACGTTGTGGACGGGATCGATCCACGCTCCACATTCCAATTTTTTATCTACGGCAAAATCTCATAGTTAGGCACTGTTCCCACTTGATTTTTGATCCCCTATTTCACACTTTCTTTGAAAGGTTGAAATCCTATTGTCTGTATCACATTTTAATATTTTTGTTAATAAAATATTAATTATTTTATTTAATTTTTAATTTTTTAAATTTTAATATTTTATCAATAAAATAATACTTAAAATATTTTTAAAATTTTAAATTATTTTACTATTGTTTTTATAAAAAAATTAATATTTATTGGTTAATATTAATTCATTGATGAATTTTTTCAATATATTTATTATATAAAATGCAAAAATTAGATATTTATGATTAATTATGTAGATCAAGGTTTTTGAACCGCCGTTGACCTGGACGGTCGGACCATTCGGCCTGAAAACCGTCCAGGCAAGCGGTTTTGTTTTACCCCAAACTCGGTTTTTGGCCAGAAACCGTTGAAAAAGTCAACAATCTATTGACCCAAGTGATCGAACCATCAACCTGTTCAACGGTTTTTTACCGTTTTTTATTTTTAATTTTTTTGTCAAAATGGGTCGTCTGTTCGAACCGGGCGGTCGGACCGTCAACCCGAAAACCAGTGGCTAGAATGGTTCCGTTTTCAAGTCATTTTTTAAAATGTTGGTGTAGACCATTTATAAATGTATATGAGATTCATGGAATCAAAAAGTGTGGTGTAGACTGGTCCAGTCCACAGTTCAAAACAGCTATGAACTGTGGTATGGTGTGGATTGATTCCTGCAACATGATGTAGTGTAAATCGATCCATACCCACCAATTTCCCGTCCATACTACAAAGCACCCCCTTAATTGTTTGACTCTTCATCGCTTTGATCCTAACATTAGCCAACAAATTAACAGAATGTTGTTCTTATTAAGGTATCATCGCCGTTTTTCATTTTCTAAGAAAAGTAGAAAGCCCTCATGAATGTTGTTCGGTAGATCTAAGCAGATCTAGCAACACCATGTACAAATTTCTATTTGATAAAATGTTTTTTACCACCATTTTTCTTAGATTAAAACATAATATTGTTGTTACATTGATGAAAAGACATCCAAAGCAATGCTATGGTGAGTAATAACAATAAAAAAAAATCATCATTTAGAATGATTTATGGAATTTGAAATTTTAGATTTAAAAAAAAAAATTAAAGCAGATTCGGAATAAATCCAAATCAGTCTATTAAGATTTGAATTCGAATCCAAGAACTTCAAATTCAATCAGATTTTAATCAGATCGGAGCGGATTCCAATTTTGATGATGATAACCCTGATTGCCATACGACTAAAAAATTAAGCAATGTAATTCATTCCATGGGATGGAAAGTGCCTCAATCCAATAGGTCATTTTGCAACTTTATTAGGGAACCAATCAGCTCTTGATGTGTGTTTTGTTTTGGTCAAATACTTTCTACATGGCTTGGTTGCTCAACTGAGGGAGGGAATGTTTTAAAAGTAATGGACATTTCACTACTGAATACTGATCCAATTGTTGGGACACGTGTTTCATCCTCACTGCCCCACATTCTTTACATGCACTAAGAGGTCACAGATCGGAGAAAAGATGAGATTAACTACTTTTGGCCTTTGACCAAGAAAATGTTTGGGGTCAGTTTTGTAAATTAGGGAAAAGATAGTGGCATTTCCACTGGTTGTTTGATTCAAATGGACCGAGTTCGGACGATGAGGTCCCCATGCACTTCACTTCACCTACTAATTCCAGGCCTTTCTACAGGCTGAAGCGCTCTCTGTCCTCCTGAAATCCGAGTTCATTCGTCCAGCTTCAAGCTCTCCGCAAAAGAGCGACCATGACAGCCGGCATCTCCATCGCTGCGGGCGCGAAAACATACGGTTTCGGCCAAAATTCGTTCATGGGTCCCAGAGCCACCTCCTTCATCCGTCCCTCTTCTATCTTTTTCTCTCCGGCCATACGCCGTCCGCTTAAAATTTTCCCCGCGAAGAAAAGTATGAGAATGACTATATGCTTCGTCTTAGAGGAGAAGAAACAGGATAGCAGTAGTGGTAGTAGTATTCGTACTAGTAGAGCTCCAGAACATAACACAGGTGAGAGCTCCGATGAGATCAATCGGGTGGTACCCGCACGAGTTGCTGAGAGACTAGCAAGAAAGAAATCAGAAAGGTATACTTACCTCATCGCTGCAATCATGTCTAGTCTGGGAATCACTTCCATGGCCGTGGCCGCTGTTTATTACCGGTTTTCATGGCAAATGGAGGTATGCGTTCTTTCTTCTTTTGCCTATTAGTTTTCCTTTTTAATGATTCGATTTCGTTAACTTGGGTTTCTTTTAATTTCCATTAACAGGGAGGAGAGGTCCCTGTTTCAGAAATGCTGGGGACATTTTCCTTATCTGTGGGCGCTGCTGTAAGTATTACTTTCCCTTTCTCTCGGATTTCTCCAACCGGATTCGGAGACATGGGGATTTGTGAATGATTTGATTAGTGAAATTAACGAGATGGGTATTGTGAAATTTTAGGTCGGAATGGAGTTTTGGGCTAGATGGGCTCACAGAGCGCTTTGGCATGCTTCATTGTGGCATATGCACGAGGTATGGCTATGCTTCTTCCTTTTCTTGATTTCGGATCTCCTGAACTCGATCTCGATGTCTTTCACATCCAATCGCATGATGCCACGTAAGCATAAGATCATGTGCAGGTATCTGAGTGCAAAGAACGTTCATGGAGGTCAAACGTCCTTTTCTCTTATTTTTAATATATTAAAACATTAAAATTAAAAAAAAAAGAGGGGAGAAATTGATGAGATGAGAAGAAACGTGTGGGAGAGGGGTTTCCGTCTTTTCCCAATTCCGTCCCCGCCTCCGCCGATACCACCATCCACCGTCGTCCACATCCGATTGCCTAACACTTCTGTTGACTCATAGTTGTTACCTCTCCTCCGCCAATCAGATGCTACCCTGTCTCGCCACATCCCAACCCCTCCCTCCTCCGGCCTGATCCGATACCACCATCTACTCTAACTTGCTTTCTCCTTCTCTAATGTCAGAACCCGATCTGTAATTGGTCCGATTAATCTGTAATATTTTTCTTTTTTTAATGTAATGGTTGAATTCAAAACTGAAATCACGATATGTCTCGTTGGAAAGAGTTTCCATGTCACCTGTCTCTAGAAACAAAGGGGCGGTGCTGGTGAGGAGAAAGGGTTGTCGGTAAGAAGATGACCTCTGTTATCCTCCATTAAATTTGTATCTCACGGCTGGGTTACCCTTTTTTTTAATATATAAATGAAACGAGCATCTTTAGACATCTTAAATTGCTCGCACATGTACAACGTTCATAATGTGTGATGTGAATGCTGATGTATTGGTTGTGCAGAATGGACTGTACAGGAGATCTGGGACTCCCTTTTCTTCTTTTCTTTTCAATTAATAATTAACTTTTGAATCGTATTATCATTGACTAATTCATTTTTCCAAAGTTTAGGCGGTATAACAATTTAATGAAATAAATATGATAAAATTGAATGCAGTCTCATCACCGACCCAGAGAGGGACCCTTCGAGCTCAACGATGTCTTCGCCATTATCAACGCGGTTCCAGCAATCGCTCTTTTGTCCTATGGCTTCTTCCACAAAGGCCTCGTTCCAGGACTCTGCTTTGGTGCTGTAAGTTTCGAATCTCTCTCTCTCTCTCTCTCTCTCTAGGCTCTTAGCTGCAACACTGAAATTTAATTATTAGGGTAAACGTGAAGTAATCCCGATGTGATCCTGACGAAAAGGTGGTCTGCATAGCATAGATGACCTTTTTGTCTCCGGCTCAAACTTGAAACGGCTACGATTCGTTAGGCCGTTAACGGCTAACGGTTAGCCACGAAGTTCAATCAAAGATGCATTTGAATTACGGGGATAAAGATTTCGTTTGCAGGGTCTAGGAATAACGGTGTTTGGTATGGCCTACATGTTCGTCCACGACGGTCTGGTGCATAGAAGATTCCCAGTGGGACCCATTGCCAACGTCCCTTATTTTCGCAAAGTTGCTGCAGCCCACCGGGTATGCCTCCTCTGCCTCTGCCCCTGCCCCATCCATTTTGGTCGGTCGAATTAGTGCGGAGTTATGACCTTCCTCTGTATATACTTTGCCACCTGTTGCAGATCCATCACTCGGACAAATTTAACGGAGTGCCCTACGGTCTCTTCTTGGGTCCGAAGGTGGGTAACCCGACGGCCCTTTTGAACAGTTTCACTCCCTTTTTATCGTGTACATCAGAACTCAGATGTACATTTTGTTGCTTCTGTTGTTGCAGGAACTAGAAGAGGTGGGAGGCCTCGAAGAGTTAGAGAAGGAGATCGATCGAAGGATGAAGTTATCATCCAAGGGTTCATGATGAAGTAGCCAGCAGAGCTTACTTTATGGAGACCATTTACAGATGATTGTTTGTCAAAAAAAAAAAAGGAAAAGTAGCACGAAGAACTGAAGAAGAAGAGGAGGAAGAAATAGAAGGACCGATAGTGGCTCTGCTTAGCAATCAGTCAAATCAATATCACCATTTGGATCTTGTGGATATATATCACTGTATTCCACTCAGAAGGAAAGATAGAAAAACAGAAATAAAATTAATTTCTGGGAATTTTGTGGATATCCCAACTTTTTTGACTCCAAAATCTACTTGCCTCTATCCATTCATCTCTCAATCTGTCAATCTCCAGCAAAATAATGACAATTATTGGCGATAATTTCAGTTAATGATCAACTTTTTACTGTATTATTTGGAATAATTGACCATGGAGATCGATCGCCTGTGCCATCCTGCATTAGTGGTAGTACGTTAATGGAACACGACACGAAATGACATGGAGATAAAAAGAAAGAAAAGATACCTCTTTTGTTAAAAAGTCAGCATGATTGGATGGTTTCCATCATCTCGCTTGTAGATATTTCTGCTTTCTTAGTGAACTGTTTCTGTATGAAGTGATGGCCACCTTATTGTTTTGTTTGATTCCATGTTCTCGGTCATTATATAGTCGCTAGATGCCTCTGCCTTTCTCTATGGTCTATGGACAGAACTCTACTCAGACCGATGCTTCATTTGTATTTTTGGGCTATCCCAGGAAGCAATCAAAGAGGTGTAAACATTCTGGTCCATAGCCTTTCTCTTCAGTCTTCATTGAAAAATCATTTTGAACATTTGAGTACTCCACGAGAGGGAAAGAAAGAAAAGAATTCACGTTACTGAACGATTGAGCCGTGTAGAAGACAACATTAGCTTTTTGCCTTTTTATTTGAATTGAACGTATTGATAGGATTGTAAACCTGAATGTGAAATCTGATATTGAATCCCATCAATTCTTCCTTCCAACAAGAGTTGGGTAATGTAAGTGTTTGAGGCTTAGAAGGAAAAACCAGACTATTGGATGCTAGTTCCGATTTACAACTAACTTTGATATGCTCTCCTTTCTATTAATCCAATTAAATTACGCCACCTTTCCCTATCCATAATTCCTTACTACAAGGGATTTAGGTGGTGGTTGGCAATTTCACACTATCTTAATTATGGTCTTCGGCAAACTTGGAAGACCGAAAATTGATTTTATTTTTTCCGTTTAATAACCAAAAACTGGAAAGATAAGAAGACATAAGCACGGAAAGACCCGGAAAGGCCGAAAGCATCAAGTTTCACAAAGCGTCAAATGAAGCTTTTGAAGCTTTCTGATCTATCCACACATGATAAATAGACTAAACACCTTTTTAAAAGCCCGATATACTGAGCCATTTACCAAACGATATTTGTCTTTAAAAATAATATAATACCCCAAAAGCTCAGTTTTGGCCATTTGCAATCTATAAGTTCTTCTAAAAAGACTTGCTAAACGGTATTTAACCTTTCAAATAACCCACCAAACGTTAATCTCTATTAGGTACTATTTTTTCAAGACATCACACTGGCGCCCCACAGTACATCCATGGGGCACCCACAACACATCCCAACCAAGAATTGGAAACATCTCCCATTGAAGTAAGGGAGATCAAGGTTCAAAGTAGGGCTGTTCATAAGAATGCCCAATCCGACCAAACCGACCAATCCAGACCGACTCAATTCGAGTTGGCCGAGTTTTCATCCGTATCGGTCGGTTTCGGGTTGGGCACATACATAAACTGAAATCTCGGGTCGGTTTCGGTTTTCTTGCGTGAAAACCGAAACCAACCCGACCCGAACCGAACTAGTACTCTATTAGTTTGGTAGTTCCTATTTCCTAGTTTGAGTAGTTTCCTAATTCCTACTAGTCTTCTACTTTTAGACTTCTACTAGAACTAGAACTCTAGAAGGCCCATTAGGCAATTAGAATTAGAATTCAATTAAGTGTCCTTTTTTAGTTTTTTACCCATATTAGAATTTAGAAGGTTTCTAAATTTTTATTTTATTGATTTACCTATCTAGATTTACCTAGTTTTTTGCTCTAGAAGGCTCATTATTGACACTTGTTTTTACATGAAGAATTTATTGATTTTATTCTTTACCTGAATTAAATTTAGATTTATCTTGGACTCTTGAATATCAAATTATCAACTAATTCAGATTTTATTTGGCTTTGTACAGGAGCAAAACCAAAACTGACCCAAACCGACCCAACCCGACTCAAACCGACCAGGTCGGTTTGGCCTATCAATGGGTCGGTTTTCGGTTCCCACCTTAGCTAACCCAACCAGGTCGGGTCGGTTGAAAAAATCCCAAGAAACCGACCCAACCCGACCCGTAAACATTCCTAATTCTTGTAGTTTCGCCACAAAAATCAAAAACCTTCATTTTCCTCCGTAATATTCGACCAAACCCAGATATCACAATGAAGGAACTTTGATAAATAAAACACCCAATTTATAGCAAAACAAAAGAACAATGCTAGCTGGTAGCAAATCTAGGAAATGGAAGAAGAAGTGTCTCGATATACACCTCAAACTAAAATCATTCCAACGGAAAAACAAAGCTAATAATCATTAATAGTGACAAACAGACGTATTTGTACAGAAAATTTTAAATTGGATGAATTCAATAAATAAGAAGGCAGATCTAACAAAGCAAAAGAGCTTGTTTTTTATAGAAAGGGATTTCATCCACCTCTGAACGACAAAGATCAATCTTGATCTAATACACCACCCAACTTTGAACTGTAATTTGATTCGTTGTTTAGAGTTACCAGATCTGTTAAGCTTGGGCTACTGTAGTGGAAAGAAATGGAAAGAGGAGAGAACAGATTTGTTCAAGCTTGGATCTTTAGATCTGTTGCCCATCTCATTTGAATCGACAATGATCAATCTCTTACCCACCTTATTTGATTCACCCTTCAGTCTTGAATCGCCGGATATGTTCAAGTTTGGGGCCATTGTAGTGTTCAGTTTGAGTCGTCGAATCTATTCAGGCCGGCTACTGGCAACTAGTACACTGGTTTCCACAGGGAAGAAGATTGTTTAGTGTCGTGGGTAACTGAAAAAAAAAAAGGATTTATTTTTGGGAAAATTCCAAGTTAGTAGTTTAGTACCTTCTTGTAGTTTAGTAGTTTAGTACCAAACATCAAAACGTGCCACTGCAATTCCTGAAGTCTCAAAAATTATCAAATAAGTCCAAAATTGTTTATGAACATTAAATGGCATATAAAAAGACAAAAATGCCCTTATATGTCATCTTAAATATATAAGATAGTATGAGGATGGAAACAAAACTTATCCAGCTAAAAGAATGGTACGAGGATGGAAACAACTTTCAAATGATTATTCGTTCATAACCTTCAAATGAGAAGATTAGGTGAAGCCCTGATTTAATCATACCTAACTAGTGAAGCAACAATTAAGTATGTGTTTGGTTTCGTTGGCGTTTATTGAAAAAACATCGCCACATCAGCACCACATAGGCATTGGCATTTATTGCATATGAAGCAAAATGACACAATTGTTTGGTTCCACCGTTTATTAAATAAACGGTAAAAAATTGAAACGCTTTGATTTTTGTGCATGGGGCATTTGGGGAAATGCCAAATTCTTGTTTCCTCCAATGCCCTAGTGTTTTTTGAAACCAAATGTTGATGTGTCACACCTTAATGGGTATTAATCAGAGGTGGAGAGTAAAAAATGTTTGAAGTGAAGTCCAACCAAACAACAAAAACAAGAAACATTTAAAGTAAAAAAAAAAACATTTAAAGTGAAAAGTATAAATAAAAAATTTAAGTGAAAAAATACAAATAAACGGCCACCCATAAACGTAAACAGAACCAAACACCCTCTAAATCTACAAGCTTATCAAGTTCAAAAAACATTTTGGAATATGCTTGGTTTTACCTAAATGGAAATAGATTTCATAGAATGCGATTTAAGTGCAGATTTTCAAAGAACAACTCTAACATGCAATGGCATCTTTGTTATAGTGGATTAGAGAGAAAACACAAATAATCTTCTTCCACACCAAAGCAAATCAAGCCAACTGGAGGCATCTTCTACATGTAATCATCTAATTGTTCCAACCCAAGTAGGGTCAAAAGCAGGCTGAGTGGCGAAGTTCAGTTTAAACTGGAACTATCTTGCAAAACTCCTATCTCCCTCTTCATAGAGACTTAATTAATAATGCTCATGATATATTGATTCAAATTCATCTCTCCATGCATGATCATCATCATGAAATGGATTTGTCTTGTTGCTTGTTATATCAGAATCCTATTGGTATAGAGGGTGTTTGGTTTCGTTTATGTTTATTCAATAAACGTTTTGTTCTTGTGTGACTACAAAACCAAGAAACACATTTAATGAAGGCGTTTATGACACATAAGCGCCATTAGGCACCACATCAGCAAAATGCCAATAAACGCCTATCTGTTTTAGGAAGCTCCAAAATGAAGCTTCCTGAAACGAGAGAGGCACACATAAACCGAAGTTTGCTTTTGCAAACTTCAATACACACAAATGCAATTAATAAGGCACTTGCTGATGGGGCACCTATGTGGCACCGTCAATAAATGTTTACTCAATAAACGTAAACAGAACCAAACATATACAGAGTGGTTGCAAAGCAAATTCTGGCAACCGGCTCTTTGCAAGGTACTATTTCATGGTGACCATCTCCATTTTGTGTTTTCTCTTCAACTTATCCATTTCCTTCTTTAGTTTCTCATTCTCTTGCTGAGCTCTCATAAAGTTATTCTCCCACCAAGGCAGCTTCTTCTGCCTCCCTCAACCTCACAAGGAGTTCTCCAGTAGCATGAATAGCTTATGTAGTGTCTCTAAGTTAAATTTTGAAACTCATGTTCTCCTTTTTCAAGTATTCCCATATTCCCATTCTTTCTCCTTCTCTACTCTCACGGCTAAAAGTTCTATAACAAGTGACTTGGCAAAACGAGAACCAATACACTTGGCTCCTGCTTTTGCAACTGCTCTCTTCACTTCAGCAATCCCTTCCATGATCATCCAATGCCTTCTAAACAATTCATTGTGCTTCACTTGCAGCTCGGCATAGTGTTGAGCAATTCTAGCATGGCCTAGGGCAGCCCTTTGTAGTGCATCATCCAACTCCTCCGTGCATTTTTTTTTTCTCCATCCTCAATTCTACCTCTACCTTCTCAACATATTGGTGCTTGATTCAAGATCAATTCTAAGTTCATTAATCAAAGATCCACTCACTGTCCATCTCTGTCCACTTTGTCTTTCCTTCTCAATTTCTTCATCACTTTTGTAATGGGAATCTGCATTTCTTGGCTAGATTGATAGTGATAACAAAGGAGAGAAACTTTGTCTCTCTTGACACCAATTCAATCACAGAATACAAATCACAGTAAAGACATCTCAATTGTATAGCAAATAAAACAATAAAGGTCTGGGCTATGGTATTCAATGTGCATAAGCGGAGATAGAGCAATAGATTGTGCAACTCAGTAAATTGCAAGGATAGGAAGAGATTCTTAACAAGGCTTTGGAGCAGAGGAACAAACTTGTCTCTACACGCTACTTATATATGGTTCTTAAAAGTTAAAATGAGCCTTTGCTTTGCTTCGTAATTATGGTGCGCTTGAGCAGTCGAACATTTAGGTGGTGTTTGATAAATCTGAAAAGTTAAAAAGATATTAAATGTCTGAAATCTAAAAAGAGGCATAAATGCTTTTCTACTTTTTAGAGGATTTGAATCCATAAGTTTGTTTGTGTTGGATCAACCCTTTACTGTCTGAAATTTACTGATTTTACTATTTTACCCTAAAACAATACTATTTGGAAATGTTGAATTCAATTTGCATTATCTCATAAAAATAATTTTTCAACCTCAAAATAATATTGAAACAATACAAATAAAAAATAATAAATTAATAATTACTAATTAATAAATGAAATAATTAAAATAAAAAAAATAATTAATGACTATAAAAATATTAAAATAATTAATAATTACTAATTAATAAATTACACAAATAAAAATTAATGAAATAATTAAAAATTACTAGTTAATAAAAATAATTAATAATTAATAAATAACATAAGTAAATTTAATAAAAAATAATTAATGTTTAATAAAAATACTAAAATAATTAATAATTAATAAAACATATTATTATTCACCAAACCACCGTTGCTGCATGTTGTAGTTGCGGTGGCAGTGGTGGGAAGGCAGGAGAGAGAGAGAGAGAGAGAGGTCGAATGTTTAGATTTTCTAGGTTTGGGGTTATCAGGGGTACCTCACGTCATTTCCAAAATATTGTAAGGATATTTTGGACTATGCATCGGCTCTAAAATGCATCTGAGCGCGTTAAGAGCCAGCCCAAAGTCTATTATTTTCAAATCTGAAAATAAGATTCAGACCAATTTTAAGAGGTAAAACCAAACAAGGGGTGAGGTCTGAAAAGTACCATTTTCAGATTTAGACCTCTAAAAAGTGCAATCAAACGCCACCTTAATTTTTGTTGGATTCATAGTTTCAGACATTACACCCATGGTCCCATCTTTGACGCCCACAAAGAAGAAAAAGAATGAGGAGACTGGACTCAGCTATTCTTTGATCATGATGGCACTACTTCTGTTGTCTCGTCATATAGAGACTGCATGCCCCTTTCTTTTAGTTCAGTCTCGATGTAGAAGACGATTAACAACATCTTCTTTTAAAAGTAATTTTGATTTTTTAAAAGTTTAAAACCATAAATGTATACTGACGAACTAAATTGACGGATCTTTAGAGTTCAAATAGTATACTGGCACGTTTTAAAGTTCAGATGCTAAAAAAGTGTAGTGTATCAATATGAAATCTTCCCCTTATTTAAAAAAAAAAAGATTTATGCATAATAAAATAATAAGAAATGAAGTTAACGTTTCAAAGGAAATGTATATAATAAGAAACGAGTAACATGGTCTAAATTAATTGGATAAGAGAGCAAGAATAGGTGATTAGGAAATCCGAATTCTTAGATTAATGGGTGAGTGGGGTTATCTTTATTTATCCATAACAGCAAATTAAGTCATATATTGTCTCCTGTCTCGTCTCTTTTGACTCTTGCCCAACTAACGCGTATCTCATGGGCTGCTAACTGTAATCTGCAAACCCAGGCCCACATCCACATTGTCATATATGTCAACAAAAGGCAAAAGCTACATCTCCACCGTCATTGGCTGCTAGGATTTTGCCACGCACACTCCATTTTTTTTTTTTTGGTTGGGTAATGAAAAACATGGAATTGTGTTGTGGATAGACAGAGACAGTGAGACAGAGAAACGAGGCAGACCATAGAAGCAACACGTGTTGATTGATGCCAGCACTACACCCATGTGATTGTTGGGGCATCTCCTCTCTCTTCTACACCGCGACTACCTCGATTTGTTTTTTTCTTCTTCTTTTGGAGAATGATGAGCGATGAAGACCTGGGGCGACTGGTAACGGGGGAGGGGAAAGCAAAGCAAACTGTGTCTGGACTCTAACAGGAGTGACCAAATTAATTGAAATATGAACTAATTGATTGTATTGGGCTAGCCCTGTTTTTAACTTTTTATTGGCCCAACCCAAATATGAACTAATTGGTCTTCAAGAAGTTGTAAATAGGTCCAAGCCCATATACTCTATGAGCCATCAGCCCATCGGATTAGGTGAACCTAATAGTTGTGTTACTGGCCGTGTAACCAGTAGTTACACCCCACGTCAGCCATCCGCGCAAATGACGTGGGGCGTTATTATTGGTTACAAACAATAAAATTCAGCTAATTAGGATTGGGTAAATTTTTTAAACTACTCTTATGCTTTAACTAAGTGTATCTTTATTGTTTAAAAATCGATTAATACTATCTTTACTATTTTTAACAATTGACTAACTCTACCCTTAGTATCTGTTAAATTTTTTTTATATGTGATATAATGTGATTAATATATTTGTCCAAAATCCCAAAAATACCCTTTCCTCCTCTATTCCTAAAAATCCATCTCTGCAATTGACTAAATAAAAAAAAAAAGAAAACATTTTGATTGGTAAAACCATCGATCAAGTTCTCCCAATCAGAGATTCTAATGGTAAGAATGATGATTAAAGATCTTGGATGCCAAAACTAAAATAGTAACAATAAGGGTAGATCGACAAGAAAGAGGAACCTATGGTCAATCTGAATCTCAGTATAGTAAAAATCAACAGTCTGAACTCGATCAAGCTTACAAATACAGACAAACAAGAAAGAGACGGGGAGAGAGAATATGATGATACTTGGTAATTCTTCAGGATCCCACTTGTAGATCCACTTGTAGATGTCGATTTTTTGTGATTACTTGAGCTGGATTCGGCGTCAACACATTTTCATCCTTAGATAATAGAGGATCAGTTCCTCATCGGTGGGGTGGAATCGGAACCCAGGACGCCAAACCTTTGCATCTCCAAAATCATCACAAGATAGCAGTGTGGAATCGGAACCCAGGAGGCCAAGCCTTTGCATCTCCAAAGTCATCAAAAGATAGCTGTGTAGTCAGAAGAATATTTTGCTCTATTGCCGATAAACGAATGAATCAACAGAAAAAGAAGCAGAAAAATCAGGAAAAAAACACCCAAAAAATTAGGTCAAGAGTGTACGAAAGCCCTTTTTCTGTTTTGCTTCTCTCCTATCCAGGATCAAAATCAAAACCTGAAGAGTCTCAGGATCTCTTCTTTGCAATCAAAGTCGAGACTCTCTTGCAAAAAAACTCTAATTGCCTAACCAAATCCAATCCAACGAAAGTGATAATAGAGAGACATAAATAAATGTAGCTTCCTCCAACCAAAACCCGTTGCCTGATGCGGAACTCGTAGGATGGGTGTGCTTTAAAAGAAGCGCCTGAAGGAGTCTCCGGTTGAGGAGATGGCTGAACGGGATGTGGTGTTTTAGAAGAGCGCTAAAGAGTGGCGGTTGTAGTGGTTTCAAAGAGAATGAGAGGGGCGCCGACCTCTGCAGTTCCAAAGTAGGATGGCGATTCCGGAGAAGAGCGCAAGAGTAGCGATTTCTATGGTTCTGAGAGATCTACAGTCCTAGCCGTAAGGAGTCTTACTGTTGTCCGATCCAAGTTCCGGTGGTTTTGGCAGTTTCGGCGAAGAGAATGAGAGGGAGAGGGAGAGGGAGAGGGAGAGATCCGAGTAATCTACCATAAGGGTGAAATAGTCTTTTTCATATCTATGTTGACAGACGTTAATGATTAGGAAGCATTATTCATTGTTAAAAACAATAAGGGTAGCATTAGTTAATTTTCAAACACTAAGATACTCTTAATCAATTAACTAAACCGTAAGGCTAGTTTAAGAAATTAAACCATTAGGATTCTTGTCGGAACACCCCCCGCCGACCGAGTCCAAACGACATGGAGTGTCCGACGACACCTGCTTCTCACTCTCACCGGCTTCTTTCTCCGGTGGTTTCCCACCAGAAACATAAACCATGCCAAATAAAGCTTTGTACGAAGACTCATTTCGAGTCAAATGTCGATTTCTTTGGCATTTCTGCTTCTATACAGGGGGAGAAGAGAAACTCGCTCTCAGGTAAACTCACAGAGCAGAGACACCAAACCTTGTTAAGCATAAAACATCACCGGGAGAAGTATTGGGTTCACTTCATTGGCATTGGAGGCTGTGGTTTATCCGCCCTCGCCATGCTTGCTCTCAAACAAGTAAGTTCCTCTTAACCCTAACCTAACTCGACTCGAGTTCTTCACCGTTATCGGTTGTAAGACTTTACACATGAAATAACATTTGAAGAAGGGAAATAAAACACTCTTTCTTTGAATTAATAAGTTTTAATTCGTTGAACCTATCTTAGGGAATGGAGGTCAGCGGCTCGGATATTGTATGGAGCAGCTTTATGGATGGATTGCAAGAAGCGGGGGCACGATTATATTTGGGTCACTCGATATCAAATATAAAAAGGAACGGTGATGGCTCAAGTCTACCTAATGCAATTGTTGTGTCCAGTGCCATTCCACCTGAAAATGTGGAGATTTTGCATGCCAAATCTCTTGGTGTACCAGTGTTAGTATCACCTATTTTGTTTTTAAATAATTTCTTAAAACCGGAGAGGCAAAACCAATCATTTGTTCGTACGTTACAATTTAAATTTTGAGCATATAATTGATCCCCTTGATATATACAGGTACAAGAGAGATTATTGGCTGGGAAAGATAACAGAGCATTACAACCTTATTGCTGTAAGCGGAACACATGGTACTACATTTGGGTCTAACTTGAGCTTATTTTCCTCAGTGTCCATATGGCCTTAATCAATAATCCTCATCCATTGGCTATTTTCTATAATTGGTTGGTAAATGTGGTATTTCTAGAGTTTACTTCAACCAACGTTTCAGTCATTGCTTGATGCAGCCTGTTCATTCTTCTCAATGAATGGATCCAGGTCTTTTTCATGTCCCCCATGTTAACCATGCAGCGGTTTTGTAATACAGTAACAGAATTATGAAGTAAGCTCTTACATTCTTGTCTGATTGGTTGAAAATGCTTGATGAGTGAAAAAGTAGGGCTAGTTAACTTTTAAATCTTGAAGTAGGGGTCTGTTGGATGTGAAAACAAAAACTAGAATCTTATGTACAATGACATGCATTTTAGTCCATCAAAGAATTATAGCCTATGACTTTAGGTTCTTTTTTATTAGAGAAAAGAAAGCATTAACTTTTTTTTGTTCTTTTTTTCATGTTCTGCTATCCGATCATTGCATTCCTCTAGATCATTTATTGTTATCATTGATATTTCAGGGAAAAGTACAACTGCTAGTATGCTTGCATATGTTTTGAGTGCAATGGGAGATGACATTACTGCTATAGTTGGAGCTCATGTTCCACAGGTATCCTTTTTCCAATTAAGAGAAATGAAGAAGAGTTTGCACTTGTATGGATTATTGTTTATCTTATCTTTCATAGTTTTCTGTCTATAAAAATGAATCAGTGGCATAACCAATTTTGTTCCTTTTTTCTCTCTTTTCTTTTGGTTCCAGTTTCAAGGGGGAAACATTATTTCTGGACGTGGTCGTAATTTTGTCTTGGAGGTATGCCTTTCCATTTCCTAGATAGAATTGGATTTTTAGGACAGAAATTATTTTGCTGACGAATACTTTGATAACTACAAGTTTTCAAGGAGTTATTCAAAGTCCCTTTGTCATTAATTAGTTTAGCACTCTGCCTTACATAATGGGACCTACATATGTTTTATTGGTGCAATATGGACCTGCAAACATGAATGCTAACAATTTTGCTTCTATTTACTACCTGGAAACCTCTTCTTTTTCTTTGTCCATCTAGTTCAAAGATCATATCGAGAGTTCTCTTGTTTACTTTTTTTCTGGTGAATTCTTAATAGATTTCATGATTTTTTTACCAACATACTGATAGATCTGTATATATGAATATTTTCTATTCAAGGTAGGCTGATGAATATGATGGCTGTTTCCTTGGATTATCACCTTATATTGTCGTGGTAACAAATGTAGAATGGGAACATGTTGATGTATTTAAAGACGAGGTTTGTACTTGATGAAACCTTTATTTCTTGACACTGAAATTTAAATTGCATTTGTTAGTCCCCTATCTTTTTGATTGACCTACTTCCGTTTAATAGGAGGCAACTATAAATGCATTCAGGAGGTTTCTCAAGAAGATCAGGAGTGGTGGACATCTCATTTTATGTGGAGATAGGTACATATTTGTAATCCTTTTCTAAATAGAGACATTTATGTGCATTAGTTTTCCTCGGAGAGGACAGACATGGTGTGCTATTTGTTTACTTTTTTCATTACTGGAACTGAGGAAGTAACAATAATATAGTTTTTATTCATTACAGCATTTTGGTAGACCAAGAACTTCTTTTGTTATTATTATTCATTTTGTGTTACATTCCTTGCATTACGTATTCTGAGTAACAAAGTTTGTTCCTTGTTCGGTATTGTTCTCTTTTACTGTTTAATATGCCTTAAGATTTTTTTCTGGATAGATGCCTCACCACAGTGAGCTGCTAATTTCATACTTCATGATATGATTTTCCTGTTGTTTGAGTATCAGAACCCTACTGCTTAGTTTAAAAATGTTTTCAACTTCCATAATGGTCATCACAGTCAGCAGTTCTTTGTTTGGAAAAAATATATTTCCATTTTTCCCACCTTTGGGGGGGGGGGGGGGGTCATTACTGTGGATACCGAACAAGCCACAAGAAGTCTCTTTTCTTGAGATCCTAATTACCTGAACACTGGACAGAAGATGAAAAGGTGAAGGAAAGTTAACTCTACATATCTTGCTATCCTTAACCTTTTATATGCAATTGAGTGGTTCAATCGAAATAAAAACGATTCCTAGTTGTGGATTTTTTTTTTGATAAGTAAGGAGTCATATTCCATTAATTCAAAGATCGGTTACATGAAAATCCCCTTAGAGAGGCATGAGCTGCTGCCTCTCCATACAAAAAACACAAAAACTACATCAAAAAGTGCATGACTGTTAAAAAGACACAAATTACAGTTGCGCCCAGAACAATGTTTCCCTGTTTGTCCCTTGTTTTGCCAAGACATCAGCAAATGCATTAGCTGATCTCCCAACCCACTGTACTGTTACAGACATATTCCTTGTCAGCCATTTGAGTTTCTTTATCTCATTCTTGTAGTCCCACGTGACATCCTCCATATTATTTAACCGGTTCACCACTGTCTTAGAGTCCCCTTCAACCAGAAGCTGTTCCACACCCATTTCTTTTACAAGAATTATTCCTTGTATTGCAGCTAACAGCTCTGCCCATATAAAGTTTGTAACACCTAAAGGGCCAGAGTATAGTAAGACAGCCTCTCCAGCCTCATTCCTCAGTACACCTCCCAAACCAGAGGGACCCGGGTTGCCCTGGCTACTTCCATCAAAATTCAGCTTCAAAGAACCGTGAGGAGGGGGGACCCAGCTTGTCATTACCTTTATCTTTGAGGAGGAACAACTTGCTACTAATAACTAATCCCTCCAACAGTCAGTAAAAGAGAAATGATCAAACAAATCCAGAGTCTTTAACCAATGTATTGCCCTATACAAAATGCAGTCCTTTAAGGCCTGACTGTTTCTCCCCTTTTCGTGGAAGGTCCTAGCATTCCTTTCTTCCCAAACTGTCCATAACAAGGCTGCTCGTGCACACCTTCACATTTTCCTCCGTCTTTTATGGGGCCAATAGAACATAGAAGGGTTAAAGATTGTACTTACTTCTGTTGGCATAATTAACACCAAAGCAAAGGGAGGTAATAATCTCAAGTCTACAGACCTTTTATCCAACTGTGTTGGCTACATGAATATTTCTTTCCTCCTTTCCACTTTGTCGCATAGAACTAGATATAAAGAGAAACAGAAAAGAAAGGTTTGACAGAATTAATTATCTAAGCAAGATGCATTGCAATGTCATGTTGCCATATATCACACAATGCTCATGCTGGACTCAGTTTATTTAAACATAAGCAAACAAGTTTGGCTAGGATTGGGTGATGACTAGAGAAGAATTCGATGCTGATGGTCTACAATGGCAGGATATTTGCTCAAAGAGAGGAAGTAGCTAGGATGTGGGAGGTGCCTGAGAGGGGGGAGAAATGAACTAAATTTTGATGCAGCTAGCAGACCGAAGGAAACGTTGTGATGAGCTATGCAAGACCAGAAACGGTTGGAAACTCATTATGAGAAGAACTACTTGCACTACATCAAGGCTTGAAGCTAGCAGCTGATGCAGGTTGGAATGGGATTGTGGTAGGAGACTGTCAAGTGGTAGTTAATTGGATTCTGTCAAGAATTTGGGCATTTAACTTTCTGATACGGGAACTTAAATTCTTGTGAGATTGAGTATGAAAAAAAAATATATTTTAGAATGGGTTATGCCAGCACCTAGGCTATGTTACCTGGATGCGTTAAAGACACAGCTGGATACGGTATTGGATATAAATTTACAATGTAAATTGAAGTATCTGAGACAACATGGCACTCTTTGTACCCAGATGTCAACTCTACTTTTCTATATGGGAAGTAGTTTTGTATTTCATTTTTAATCAAATCAATGAAGTCAAATATGTTATTAATAAAAAAGTTCGGCTACATGAATGACATGGGTACTATGCATCATGCCATGCAGAACAATACTCCTAAACTATCTTCCATGGCAACTGCACATTAATGTGATGGGGGTATAAAATGCTTTCCATAAAAATGCATCAAGTTCCTTTATCCATTTTAAACTATTTATGATTATTCCTTTTCAGTAGTTTTGGATAATGCATTCAACACCAAGGCTTATATATGTTGAGTATGCTGAGACCTGAGTATAGCCTGCAGTTATTGCATCTTTCAACACCAAGGCTTATAAGACATATTGAGTAAGAAAGTACAACATATCAGCTTCCAGTTCACTAAAAAGTCAATTGTGCATATCTTGGGATGCTGCTGTCTTTTAAAGTTGAAGAAGATTAGAAGCATGAGATTTCATTAATCTCTAACTTGAGAACATTCTGCAATTGACATCACAGTGAAGGTGCATCTAATTTGCTGAATCAGAGAAGGCAAGAAACTGTATCTGACCATGCTCAGCTAACACCAAGTTTCCAGCTATCCAGTGATGGCTATAGCATATCAACTTATGGAATATCAAATTTCAATGATTGGCATGCATCCTCAATTCGCCTGAACTCACAAGGTGGTAGTGATTATGTGCTGGTAAGCACTTGCTTTGTTTGATTGAATTGGATCATTCCATCTAGTTTCAACTGTAGGAAAATATGGTTTATTTCATGACAAAACACAATTGATCTTGAATAATGTTTCTTTTTGCTTGTCCTTTTGTCCATGCGGATGTTTATTTTGGCATTTCTGCATACTGCACTTATGGTGTTTATTTAAATAATCTGATTTGTGGCAATTAAACTTATAAATTAGAGCCATAAAATTGTCAAATGTAAATATTATTTTGAATTGCCTGCAGTGTCATAAGGGGTGTCCTCTGGCAGAAATCAGCCTACAACTCCCAGGAGTTCATAATGTACTCAATTCGTTAGCGGTGAGCGATTCCTAAGTTCATGATTTCTATCTTTAGCAGACACACCCTTCCAATGCTAGAGTGTATCATTTACATCATTTCTAACATGCAAGTTCCAGCCAAAAATTCAATAACTAATCAAACCCATGATGAACTATCTGTCATTTTCAATTTACCTGGATCAGAGGAACCTTGGAACTGATAAAGTAAAAGATATGAAACCTTGGGATGTACAAATTATACTACAAGAAGACATAGTCCCTTCAATTAAAAGTCTCTTCAGTTTATATATTTATTATTTTTTATTAGCAGTTGTTTGTTATTGTGACTTTCAGGTTATTGTTACAGTCATGGCACTGGTCAATGATAATAACCTAACTTGTGATGCAATCAACCGCTTGAGATTTCACTTGAACAACTTTATTGGTGTTTCTAGACGATTCAAGATGATTGGTAGGATTTGCAGCTGCCATATATATGACGATTATGCACACCATCCAACAGAGGTCCATGCAGTTATCCAAACAGCCCGCCAAAAGTTTCCCGTTGGGGCTTTGTGGGTAGTGTTTCAGCCTCATACCTTCAGGTGTTAACTCTGAACGAAATGAATAAATACATACCTTCAGGTGTTTCAGCCTCATATCCACTTAACTGACTAGCATTTTTGCAACATTTGATGACTTCTGCAGCCGTCTAGCAGCATTTATGAAAGATTTTGCTGCTGCATTTGGTGATGCAGATCGAGTGGTTATCACTGAGGTATTAATTCTTCATTTCCCACTTTCTAGCAGTTACAGGTCACTAACAGTCAACATTATTAATAATGTCAGGTTTATGCTTCTAGAGAAGTAAATATTTGGAACATCAGTGGAAAAGATCTAGCTACGTCAGTTGTGGGTCCAAGATCTGAGTACATTCCTTCACTGGTATGCCAAAACAGCTGTTTCCGCATTTTCTACAAATTATGTTGTCTGGATTTAGAAAACATCCTCAAAGGGCATGATAAAGTTTCAGAATGTTAGATGCTTATTATTCAAGTATGTCAAATAAAAGGTCCTCACTCAATGGGTTTTACCAGGAAGGAATAATTCAAGGGATCTTTGTTTTGCCCATAGGTATATACAAAACCTTTAATGGATATAAAATATTTTAGGGCTGCAATTGCTTGGATTCAAATTGAATCAAATATGCTGTATTCAGATTGGATTCGTATATAGCATTCCATTAATAAATTGAATAAAAAATTATTAAAATATTCTATGCTATTATCAAAATAAACTAGAAATGACTTTGGTATTATATATCATGAATAAAATGAGTAGAAAATAACTTTATGAGACTTGGACATACGACTCCAGCACACACGCACACACACTAGGGATGCAACTTGGGCGGGCTTAACCTGAACCCGGCCCAGCCCAACCCGATTTTTTTTTTTTCACGGGTTGGGACTGGGCTTGAAAAGGTGGATGATTTTTATATTTTTCGGGTTGGGCTCAGGTTGAGGTCTTGGCCTCTTGGGTAACCCGAGCCCGGCCCTTTAGATTATAGTGATGGGTGTATGGCAAGGTTTACATGATATTATTAATTTCTAATAGTGATGGGTGAAATTTTAGTTTGACGGCTCTTTAGATTAATAAAATTATTTTATTTTATATTCGATGGTTGAAGTTAACACTAAACTTATCAAAATTCCAGGTATCTTTTCTTTTCCCCCTTTTGAAATTAAAGTTTTCAGTTTATGATTCAAAGAAAATTCCAGGTATATCTTATATTTTCTAGTTGAAATAATCTTCCTTTTAATTTTATGATGAAAATTATATTGCATATTTTCTTTTCTAAATGCAATATATGTATTACACATACACATAAATGTATATTAATTTTTAGTTTGGGGCTTTGGACTGATTAACCAATCCAAGTCTGGTCCGGGCCCAGGCCCAACCCTAGTGCCTGAAATTTTAGTGCGGGCTGGGCTTGGGTTGGATAATTTGGGCTTGAGCTCGGGCTCGGGCTCGGCTTGGGCTTTGGTTGGGCCTGGGTTGAGCTAAAACCCAGCCCAGCCCGCCTGACTTGCACCCCTAACACACACACACACACAAACCAACATTAAATATTCTTGGATTCTGGTCAAATTCCAATTCAAATTTAATATTGTTTGCAGCCCTAAAGTATTTTCCAATTTTGTCTGCTATACTAATAATTTGTCTTATGCACTTATTAGGAGGATGTGGTAGATATATTAGCACTTGGGATATCGATAAACCCCAATAGGGAAACTGTTGTCTTAACACTTGGTGCAGGTAATTTTGTTCCACAAATACATATTAGGCTAAGTTTGGGAGTGCTTATTTGAAAAATAAGTGCTTAAAAACAAGTGCTTATTAGAATAAGCACTTATGAGCGTTTGGTGAAAAAAGCACTTATTTTAAACAGGGGTAGTATCAAAATGATGTGGCAGGCCAAGATAGGCTATAAAGGAAATAAGCACTTGAAAATAAGCCAAAAATTTGGGCTTATTAAATAAGTGCTTATTCTCAGAATAAGCACTTATTTTGGGTTTATTTCCCAAACACAAATAAGTGCATATTGGTGTGGTCCCGGACCAAAATAAGTGCTTATTCAAATAAGTACTTATTTTTAAGCACTCCCAAACTTGGCCTTACTTCTCTTGCTATATCTAACCAGATTTTGAATACCAAACCCATGCTATTTCGTTTCTACTATATGCTTAACATGGGATTTACGTGGTCAGGTGATATTACAAATGTGGGAGTGAAGCTACTTAGTAAATTGCAAGAACGGTTGGAAAAAACATATTAGCATATGCTATCTGATGCTTATTACCCCTCCCCAATCGACAGTTTACTCCTGAGCAGGAAAAAAAAGCCAAACAGAAAAATACAGTCTGGCAGTTTGGTCCAAGACCAACTTTGACGTATAACTTTCATTTGGAATTTGAAGGGCTGAAAACACTGCAACCTGGAGTATAACATGATGCTGGACCGGTAGTGGAGGCATTTTGCAATTGTCAACTGCAAGTTGGATATGATATTGATACAGATCAGATTGGGTTTGTTGTGGGCTGTTAACCCAATTTTAAAATCAAACTGGGATTGATTGAATCCGGATAAGCAATATCTCTCGTACTGTTTTATTTTCATAATGGGGGAATTCACATCTGCGCCCCACATGCACATCTCAGCGTGCATTGGGAACATCTCCCGAAGTTATTCCACATGCACACATTGTTCCCAATGCACGCTGAGATGTGCATGTGGGGCGCAGATGTGATGAGATGTTCCCAGTGTACGGTTGTGATGTTTTGTGCACAGGTTGTTGGCAGAGATTTGTGATCAGTATATCCTAACTTAGATTATGTAATGTTCATTTAATTAATAGCTCTCTATTGTTATTAATTCAAGGACAAATTTCTTAAATTATCCTTACTGTTTAATTTAATTGATTAATTCTACTCTTACCATTTAATTATTGTCTTAAATGTCCCTAAATTTTCTAACAATTGACTAATTATTCTTTTACCAGTAGGGTTCTGTCACAATCCACTCACATGTCATGCCACGTGACTGTTATATTTTGATAAATGACAATAATACTCTTTTTCCAAAATTACGGAAAAATGGCATCGTCGTTCCCTAATAGAGCCACCAAGAAATGCCAGTGGTTGACTGCTACTGTTACAATTCATGTTCCTGTCCTAACACTTAGGTCGCCCAACTCAATCCCCGATGTTCATATCGTTTTGGTGCCTCAATTGTCGACTCCAAGTTGTCCAGAGGTTACCAATTACCGTCTTCAGTTTCGACAGCTTTCCTCTTCGACGCGGTGGGGCTCTTCAGTGACTTCTCCATCGACAGAGTAGTTGAATAGGAGGCGGCAAATTTTAAACAATGGTAGTTTGCTTCGGTCTTTTTCTCCCCACTCTCTCTCTCTCTTAAACAACAGTAGTTTGCTCCTGTTTCATCTTCCTCTTTTCCTCGTAAAACTATCGCTGTAAAAGCAGTCATTTGACCACCGAATTGCCACCACCTCTCTCTCCTCTCCATCATTCCTTTTCAATTGACACCTGACCATGTGAACAGATGGGCGAAGGCTTTCCCCTCTATTGCCACTACAACTCCAACACCTCCTTTCCCCTCTGTTTCTCCCTCATCTCCCATTCTTTGTCGGTGAGTAATCACCAAAAAAAAAAAACATGAACTCATTGTTTCCCGCCCCGCCCACTCTCCTCTCCTGATAACTGCTTTCCCCTCTCTATCGCCACTGCAACTCTACCACCTCCTTTTCCCCCTGTTTCTCCCTCATCTCTCCCACTCGTCGGTGAGAAATCACCAAAAAAAAATACGAACTCATTGTTTCCTGCCCCGCCCACTCTTCTCTCCCACACAACGAAGATCCCCCCATCTTGATAGAGCGAAACCTGATAACTCCCTTGGAGCTGTAGAGACCAAGGACTAAAATTTTGAATTAGGTTTTAAAGCTTGAGTCGAGCGTAGTTTGTTGCAGTTTCATCCACAAGAAATTCTGACTCCGGATCTCGTGCCCACAGAACTCTGCCCACGTCTTCCCACAACACACTACCCTCGTAAATTGGGAACATCTTCTCTTACATAATACTATGTAGAAGGATGAGATGTTCTCCATGTATGGATAAACGTGGGCAAAATTTATGTGGGCAAGAGATCTAGACTTAAAAATTCTGTTGTTGTTCTCTGAGTGATCAATTCTTTGCCATCACCCTGGCTTGCAAGGAGGGTCTTTTCGCCAAAATTACAAAGGCTAAGTCTTGAAAAAGTCCAGTCAAGAACCCAACATCAATGGGTTCAGAGATCTTGGATAGTCGTTGGTAATTAGGTTGGTTATCCAGTCACAGAAAAACAAAGACATGGGGACTTAGCGAGTGCAAAACTTAGTAGTGGTGTGGTTTCCACCCATTAAGGGCCACATGGGAAGGGGTGTCCACGATTCAGTTAACTGAGTCATAAAAATTTTTTCAAATCGAATTGGTCCTACCAATTTTTCAATTTCTCTGAACCGAAATCGAACTCATACCACTAGTTAACCAGTTGATTGGTTTCGATTTTTGACCAGTTCAGTTTTTCGAATTTTCAGTTTTTTTATACTTATAATATTATTTTATAAATAATAAATGATATACGATATATTATAAATATTATAAAAACATATATAATATATTTATAGCTAGACTATTATAAATATAATATATGTATATATTTATATATATATATATATATATATTATATAGATAATGTGACATATATTAAATATATATATATACATAAAAATATATATATTGGTTGGTTCGATTAACCATCGGTTTTTTAAGGTTAATCAAAAATCAAACCGGTCCTTTGATTTTTCAAAAATACTAAACCAAAACTAAATCAATTGATTCCGTTAACCGCATTTTCCAATTCAATTTGATTTTCCGATTTTTTATGGACACCCCTACACAATGGTACTTTGCACTCTTGCCCAAAGGAGTAGCAAATACCTCATCTGCTACACCTCCATTGCTTTCACGAGTCTAGATCGACAGGAATACTTTTGTTTTTGAGATGTCCGAAAAGGGAGAGAGGGGGATGAGAGGATTTATTGACTTTACTAGAAAATCAAATAAGGAAATAAGTTGGGGAAAAGGAGGTGAGGTTGGGATAGAGGAGTGAATGGAGGAAAAGCGGTGATTGATTAACGGCTCCATGAAAAACCAGATTCACCGTAGTTGTTTTCGTGATGTTATGAAGTAGGGCTGAAAGGTGGCATCGGTGGAGTCGATGAGATACAACAAATGTACGATGGTAGAAAACTAAAGAAGGTTCCTGAAATTTTCATCAGTTAAGTTTTATTTTGAAAATTTGAGGAATAGTAGAGGACAATTTTGACATTTTGTTCTTTTCCGTTAGTGCTTAATGATAATGTCAATTATCAGAAACAATAGAGATACTTCAAGACAATATATAAACAACAAGAGTAGAGTGAGTCAATTAACTAAACCATAAAGGTAGTTTAAGAAATTTGCCCTTAATTTAAATGGTTACCATCTATGTCACCACTAAATTAAGTATTACCAGATGAGCAAAAATAGACTTCACCGCCCTAACTGAGAAAGTAAAAATGGTTGTGGGTCTCCTACATTATATTAATGGTTGTGTTCCATTTAATTAATAATCGCCATTGTTATTAATTTAAAATGTTATGTGATATTGAAATATTAACTTAAAAGAGTAACGATCTCTATGGGGGTAGAGGTGTCAGGCAGTGTGCAGTGATTGATAAAAATTAAAAAAAAAAAAAAAAAAAAACGGAGTACTAATTTGCCCAATGTAGATTTTTGATTTCCATTACAAAGTTATAAACATTTAAAAGGTCAACAACCCACACTCTATGCACCAACTCTCGCCCGGGAATTGGCATCAATTCCAAGTTGGCACCTACCTTAATAGTACTTTGAGCCTATAAATTCTGACCCTGGGCTGATTGGTCATTCTCCCAAAAAAAGGGAAATTGTCAAAAACTCACCATGAGTTTTCAGCATTTAAACTCACCACAACTTTTCAAAATGTCTAAAACTCACCATGTCACTAACTTGACGTTAAAGAGACTAACGACTATTAATATATTACCATTTTAACCTTCATAGAAAAATATAAAATATATACATATATTTTAATATTTAGATATGAAAAAAAGGAAAAAGTTCAAAATATATTTTCAAATATAAAATACATAAAACACAGAAATTGAAAAAAAATATAAAAAATTATAGAAATTGCACAAAAATAAAAAATTATTTTCAAATTATAGAAACTATAGAAATTGAAAAACAAAATCAGAAAATAAAAATTGTAAAAAAGCACAAAAAATTATAGAAAAACACAGAAATTACAAATAAATAACAAAAAATAAGAAAATTTTATAGATTGTAGAAAATAGAAAAATGTAAAAAACAGAAATTATAAAAAATATTAGAAATTATAACAAAACACTAAAATGTAAAAAAAAAATGAAAAAGACCCTTTTCCTCTAACTTGCCATTCAAGGGTGATTTGGTCATAAAAATTGTTATTTATGCTGATGTGGACACTTCTGTTAAAAAACATTAATGGTGCACTAATAGAAGGTGAGTTTTGGAAAATAAAAACTTCCTAAAATGGTGATTTTTAGATGTTTTGAAAAATTATGATGAGTTTAAGAGAAATGCTGAAAACTCATGGTGAGTTTTAGACAATTTCCAAAAAAAAAAACTAATCCTTACTCAGCAATTTCATGGGTGGCCCATTATTAATGGCGTTGGTGTCAACTGTCAAGCAGTCTGTGGTTGCCTGGTTCTCAATTCTCATGCATGCGATGTGGCACCACAGTTCTACCACAAAGTCAGATAGACGTGGCTCTTTCTTTCTTTTTTTTTTTAATTATATACCTATACCTATTCAACTTCTGAAGTGCAACCAATTGGATCAACCGTATGATTGTCCAAATATGAAAACACAAGGCAGCAGGCAGGTTCTTTGATATGGCTGTTCGATTCAGATTGTAAATTTGTAATAGGATATTGTATACCATTCATTAATCGATCACACTAAAAAGGATCAAAATATTATATATTATTAATAAAATTAACTAGAACCAATGGCACTTTAGTAAACATATGAACATTCGAATCAAACTTATTAATCGATATATATAACGTGCAAGAGCAAATGATGATGATGATGATAATAGTTAACAACCAAATGATTTTACTGGTTGAATTATTGACATATTTAACCAGGAAAATTGACTATGATTAAGACATTAATTCATTTTTTTTTGTATTTTAGCAATTTTTATCTTTAGTAATAATAATTCTTATTTTTCAAACATATTTTTGTTTAATATGAAGAATATATAATATTAATGCATGTTCAGATTTTTCTATAAAATTTATAAAAAATTCTATATTTTTATTTTTTATTACTTAATTTATGAGATAATAAAAATTACTTATTTACCAAGACGAAATGCAATTCCAATATATTGTTTAAATATTGGTTTTTAATATTGTGGTCAAATCAATTATATATATATATCATTTATATAAAATATGTGTTATTTATTATTTATTTATAAATATGTTATTTATATTGCATTTTTGTAAACTTATTATATAATGAAAATAGTTGAAAAAAAATACTTATTTTTTTGTTTTTCTTTATTTCAATTATAAATATGATGAATATATAATATTATAGAATGTACCCAAAATCATCTATAAATTTCTATGTTTCTAAAATTTTATGTATTTTATTATTTAATAATAACATTATGTGTCGATCCATTTGACATGGATAGTTGAACCACTAACTCATCACTTGGATGGAAAAACCATTTTTCTTTT